ACGACCTCACCACAGCACAACTCACTCCCAGTGAGGCTTTGGAACAAAAGCTGAACCTTCAGAATCAGGCAGCCATAGCCGTGATCGAAGCCGACAATGACGCCATATTGCCCCAGCAAGCTGACCCTCATCGCCTACAGCGATGCAGCCTTCGCCAGCCGACACGACCTGACTTCCCCAGGAGGACAGCTCATCCTCCTAGTGCACCACACGGTCACCACTGGCCAAGAAGGTGGATACCACCTGATAGATTGGAGAAGTTGGAAATTGCCCAGAGTGGCAAGGTCAAGTCTGGCCGCCGAAAGTCAAGCAGCTTCAGAGGCATCAGATGCTCTCCTCTACGCCAGCGTGTTTTGGAAGCTGATATGGTCACTGCACCTAGCTCTGGAGGACAGCCACACGCCCAAGCTGCAGCACATGCAGTCCACGACTCATCGTGGACGCCAAAGCATTGTACGACCTCCTCGCAAAACAAGACCTACAGACGGCTTCACAGACAGGCAAGCAAACTAGCATAGAGGTCTTAGTGACCCGTGACAAACTGTCATGCACAGGTGCAAGCACCTCATGGGTCTCAAGCGAACTCCAATACGCACATGGCATGACAAAGAACACGGCAGCAGGCCTATTGGCCCAAAGACTACGAACACACACGACATGCCTACGGCCAGGCCCAAACTTTACAGCGTCAAAGAAGAAGACGCTACAGCAAAGAAAGCAAAGCCACATGAGGTATGCCATCCCCAAGAAGACTGCGCAGGCAGCCATGATGGCAACAATGATCACAACAACAATAGCACAAACAACACACAATACAACAACAGACACAACAGACAACATGAACAGCAACAACTTCGTGTTCCTGACCCTCTTCGCTCTCGCAGTTGCCCTGATGGCCAACCTGATGTGGTACCTCATGACCACCTCATGGACAAGAAGAAGGACCCTGACTATGCCACCGTCCAAGAATGACACCATGGACAGTCATGCTCAAACCAACGAGGACAGGCCACTCCTGACCTTGATAGAGCTTCGACGGCGAGAGAAAAATCCTGGAAGATGAAAACGCCGCCTTGAAGGACCAAGTGCTCAAAGTCAACAACGTCTGCAAGAACATCAAAGCCCATGCAGAACGACGACTGAAGGAGCAGAAGCAGATCCATGACGAGCACCTCATGACGATCGACCGCCGATGGAACCAGGAGGTCAAGCAAAAGGCCAAGAACCTCTTCATGGGAGCCCTCAATGGCGACCTCTTCCGGACTGAGCTTGGGGAACGCTGGCATTCCGACCGGCAGTGCGCAAGCAACCGCACCGCGAACGTGGTGTTTCGGACGCGCCCCTGCAAATGCTGCGCCTACAAGTTAGGCAAGTTGCTGATGGAAGAGCCCAGCCCCAGCGGAAATGAACCTGGAGAAGCAGCCGAACCTGTCCCCTCTTCACCGGTGTGAATGTGTGTCCCACACATCGGTTCGTTCGCACTCAAGCTGCCAGGTTCGAGAACTTCATGCTTCTCACCGTGCTCCTTTGGCACAAACCTTTTCCAGCAAAGGGCTGGGTTCATGTGACGTGACGCCATGCCGACAGGCTACGTTTGTCGCAAAAAGGGCGCGACGCTGTGATACCTTGTTTTGGGAAGTGGTGCGCACTTCGTTTGGTGCTTCACTGTGGTTGCTACCATCAAAGGCCCTTTTATGTTTGTCTGGGTCCATGCCGCCAAGTCCAGTTTCTTATTTATAAATGTGTGTGAATGAGTTCAACTAACAAAAATAGTTTTGAAGTTTGCTCTCCGGAATCCTTGCCCAGCTGAGGCACGAGTCGTTTGTGCTTGGCTAGAAGATGGGCTGGTTAGTGTAGTTACTCGCGAAGATGACATGCTGTGTCTCATGACCCGGTGTGTGTAACTGGACTTAGTTGAGGCTGTTTGTCAGTCATACTTATAAGTCCCATATTTTTTGGCGAGTCGGCCGTGCAAATGTAAGCGTAAGACCCGGCTCTCCCAGGTACCACATGGCGCGGTGGGTTGATTCCCATAAACGGGCTGGGTATTATTTGACGGATCGTGATGTAGCAGTATTCCGGGAACATTGTGTCGTTTTTCTTGACTTCATGTTTAAACAGAGCCTGGTTAGTTAAAAGAACTCTGCAAGGGTAAATAAGTTTCCAACAAGCATGCCACTTAGGATGGTTGCATGAGGGCCTACTGTCAACATGCTGGCCTAGACCAATTCCTCCCGAAACCATAATCATGGTTTTCCAAGCCTTTGCGCTTGGAAATGAGCACCAGCACTTGGGCTCCTCAGCAGCACACATGTTTTCTGGCGAACCACCGGGAATGGTCCGCTTTCCTTGGATTCAATCGACCAGTGCCCTAAGATCAGTGGCCAGATGAGCATGGTCCATACTATCTCGCGTCCCAAGTTCTCCCAATGGGATTCAAAAATAGCGTAAGTTTGGCACAACATGTACACAGGGCTATGGTAAGAAGGGCAAGCGAGAGTCAAGGGAATGTATTGCAGTCAGAAAAGATCAGAAAAGATCGAGCGTTCACGTCATCCACAGACTTGCATCGCGTCTACCTGGACAATTTCGACCTGCTGGAGAGAATGGACAGCCGAACTCATCGCCATCCCAGTTTTAGCTCTAACAACAGAAGCTTCACCCCCAGGGCGCCGCACGTTCATGGTCCCGTCTCCATCTGATCTCAACCAAACCTGCCGGAAGTAGTAGTAGCAGTAGCAGTAGCAAATTATAGTAATAAACATAGTAGTCGCAGCAGCAGCACTCGGAGTAGGAGTATATAGGAGTAGGGGTAGGAGTGAAGTAGGAGTACGAGGGGGAGTAGGAGGAGGAGGAGTAGTAGTAGTAGTAGTAGTAGTCGTAGTAGTAGTAGTAGCGATTGGCTGCAAGCCTTGAGAATGCTGAAACAACATCTCATGTGCATGTAGAAGAGACGCAGCTCGACACTGCGCGCCTGGATCCGCTTGCGCCAGATCTGGCCGTCATGGCTTGGGTCCTCAGAGGGTTGCCCAGTAGGTGCACAGTGGCACATAAAGTGTGGCAAATGTTCCGAACATTTCGGTGGCCCGTCTGATTCCCCCAACACCCCGGGTGAGTTCGGTATCACCTGGTATGAATTGGCCCTGTATTGCGCTATCTATTCGGGGTCATGCCTTCCCATCTGGATCTATAGTTAGGAACATAAATTCCCCAAACTATATGCATGTGATTCCACCGAAGCCAAGATTCAACCAGACACTAAAAAATGTTTATGGCACCAGGCCGGTGTGTTGCGCTCAGTAGTTCGATATCTCGAAAATACCATGCAATGTTCTTTCTATCCTCGTTATAAGAAAACCAATGCTAGTTCCTTGGTTCGACTTGGATTTCATAGAAGCTTGGTGGGGGGGAATCTCCGCACGTCCATTCTTGCCACACGCAGATTTGCTTATGCAACAGGTAAAATCTTATGCCTCTTTGCCGAATCAATCGTACCCCTTATGGGTAAAATCATATATTTACGCTAATCAAAGACCAAGTCGCTGAGCACAATCTTGGAGCAACCTGCCAGCACTTCTGAGGTGGCTGAAGTCAAGGAGTGAAAGGCTCTGAAGACTGCTAGGTCATACTACTCCTTGAAAACTCTGTTTCAGGTTCCTTAACGAAAGGTTCTGGAGATTGCTTGGCCAAGTGATCTCTTCATCCGGTACTCTGCAAATGAGGTTCGTCTATGTTCGTCTTGGATCAACAGTGGAATGTACCATGAACAATTGTTCATTGCACCCCGACGCAAAGAAACTGAAGCGAACAGGGTGCTTCAACCCCCTATATATGATTCTGTATATAAATATATATATATATATGATTCTATATGTTTATTTGGGCCATTTGGGGGGAAAGGTACATCATCATGAGTCTGCCGCAGTCTGCTTGACGACCTGGTCGACCAAGTCTAGTTGACCAATCCCAGACCAAACGAATGGGAGTGGAATAGTTGCATGCATTGATTTCATCCAACGATCATGTAAGCTTAAGGTGATTTGATGTTGATTTTGGTCTGTTCGCTGTTCTCCCAGTCTTAGGAATGATTGATTGTTCATGACAGTGGACAAGGGCTGGTTGTCCCATGTTGCCCTTGCACACTCTCCCAGATCTAAGATACTTGAAGGCTCCTGAAGGCATAAAACATAACTCCCTTACCGCTACCCAAAATGCGCTGTGATTACAAAGACCAATGATCTTCACACATCCCTGAAAAGTATTGCCACTAAGCCGTGCCAGAAGGCGGACACAAAACCCCCGACTGGGAGACACAAGTAAACATGCCCAGGGCGCCACACCGAGAGCGTTCCATTCGATGCTGTTGCGAGGAACGCGTATTGCCCAATCTCCTGCCGTCGTCGTGTGAAGATTGCCTCTGCAGGTCCATGGTAGGTCCACATTGGATCCTGATGGGAGTGGGAACCTTAACATTAGTGACTGAACGACAGCGAACACGCCCACAAGCTCGGGAGAGCGCCTTGATGAACACTCGGTAGAAGCGTCCATCAAGTGATGGCTCCTCAACCACCTTCTCAGCCCAACCTCGGATATTTCGGTCTGGTAGCAGTAGCTAACCAATCGCCAGGGCCCATTTTCATCATTGAACATGTGGCCAGCTGGGATTGGACTCAATCCGGTCCGCTTTTCAATACCCCAGCAACATTGGACACATCTTGTGTGGATGTTCCCCCAAAAACGCGTCTTCAGTGAGCTACGCCAAAACCAAATTCAATCACCAGGATCCCCTGTCCAGGTGGTGAATGGACACCCCGAATCCGGGGGTTCTGCTATGGTCTGTTTTATGGTTTTATATACCTCCTTGATCATCCAACGTATCATTAATTATTGTCCCTCCACTTGTTCGTAGCTTTTTCTCTAACTCTCGAGCCTTTTCTATAGATCCAAGTAGTCTTGAACTGTCTCGAGCGCATTTCGAGAAGTCGAGCGTATTCCTCAAACTAGCCATTGTGGCCCATAGTTTTGTTGTCTAGCCCCTGCAGGGCGCTGGCCGTGTGCCCTGAGTGTGTTTTTGTGCACGCTGAGCAAGTCCTTCGCTGCCTTGGCTCAGCCACAGGTACGGCGGGATGCATGGCTTGGCGTGGACACCCTGAACCCCAAGGATTTGAGGTACCCCTGTCAACTTTATGCATCTTCAACATTTTTCTCACGTTGATGTATTTGATCTTGATTTGCTGATGCTCTTTCTGGAAAGGTACCTTAAGAACTTTGCTGGCGGTGAAAGGCTGCCGAAGTTTTCCTTGCATGTGTTGAGTTGAAACACAAACACAAGCCTTTTTCAATCCAAGTGGTGCCTCATCAAAGGAAAAATAATGAACATCAAACTAGTTGGGTTCTTCCTGGCAGGCTGGAGACCTTGGTTACGTGTGATTGGAGGCACCGTGCATGCTTCCACTTGTTTCATTCTACACAGGAGGTCTTGACGAATCCCTGGCAGTTCCACAAACTTACTCATACCACCTCCTTTGCTCCAAAGCATTTGGCTTGAACATCAAGGTGCTTTGCAGTACCTTTGCGCGTTTTTGTGCGTGCCATGGTTCACCCTGTCGTTGAAGAATGGATGGCCAACAAGATTCTAGCGACCAAGGGTGCAGCGGGCCATTTGGTCTCGGTGTCGGACAGAAACGGGCTGCAACGGGGCGATGTCATTGCCAACTCTCATGTGGTTGCGCCAGCGCTTAACTGACTTCCTTCACACATTCAATCTGGGTTTTGGTGGGGACATGGCGGCTTCAAGCATTTTGCTTTTGGTTCGCATGAAGCTGATCTTTATAGGGAGAAGTGCCCCAAAGCGATTTGAGAGTGCCTACGAGAGCTTCTATACATGGTGCGTTGCAAACAAGAAGACTACATCAATAAAGCGCTTCAACGCACAGAAGTTCAAGGTCACACAGACTCCTGCTACATATGTGGAGACAACTGCAAATTTTTCTTGCTGTTTTGCTGAATATGTTTAGGAAAAGGGTGGGGTTGGTGTAGTCTTCAAGCTGCTCTCCTAATTTGGACAAGTAGCCAAGGACCAGCAAGTATCCCAAAGGTGCCTGTAAAGCTTTTGACACAACTTTGCTGTGCAAGTGGCTTTTGGAAGAACTTCAGCAGTTGGACCTGGAGACCATGGTGCTTTTCAATTACCTAGCAGTGTATGTGTGTGTGCTTTTCCCCTGTTGCTGCAAGTATGTCATGGGCCCTTGACTGGGGGACCTCAGCCTGCTCTCCAAAACCAAAGGTCCTGAAGCCTGATGACCGTGCCCTTTTGGAGTTGCTCCGCTGGAGTTTCTATGTGGCCAACAACTTTTTCCACATCGTTTATGGGCAGGGCGTTTGGATGTCACGCGGGACTGCGCAAAATGCTGTTGACCTTGGGTTTTCTGTTGGGGACACTTGGGTCACACATTAACAACTTTGGAGTTAGGGCCCGGTAATGGCATTCCAAACCTTGAAATCCTGGTAGTCAGGAAGCTTACAGTGGGCTAGCGCGTCTTTGCGCCCAGAGAAAGTGGCGATAATTCCGAATCCGCCCCAAAGAAACTTGAAATTGTTGACCATGTCTTATTTTGATGGCAAACCTGCCAACGGCACATGCCTGAGGTACACATGTTTGTACACCTAGTGCCACTTGTCTAATCATATTTGGGGATTCCGCTTGACTACTTCTCCACAGAATGCCACCTAGGCAGTCGATGAAAGATGAGCTGACACAGGGGAGTGAAAAGATCAGCAACCCAGTCATGTGGGCTTGCTGGTCAGACGAGGACTTTGTAGGTAGGACTGCGCGACTGAGCCGCCGTGTGGCGGCAATCAGGTTTGTGGTCCTAAGAGTCATGACTCGATCTCTCATGCAATATGCCCGCCATTTTGGAAAAGTGTGAAACCAGCCTGGTCCCAGTGTCTCTGAGTCTCCCGGCTGAGTCCACGTTGATGAAGATGTGGAAGGGAGTGTGCGTGGAAAACAGCGCGAGCACTTTTTGGAGAGTCGAGCGTTTTCAGCTTTAGGCTTTGGAGGTGTTTGAAGAGCTCTCACGAGCAAAAAAGAAAACGCACAAAAAATAATGTATCAATGGAAGATCTAGGCTATAGGAGACGGAGTGACCTCTGTTTTGACAAGAGAAAAAGTTGGTGGTCCAAAACATCTTGTATGTCATGCTAACCAACCCCACGCATGAATCGATGTTATCGCCGCAAAGATTCAGCGATTTATGCGCCTGATACGACATTGGGGCAGGTGGTGTTTTGTCTTCTCTCTCGGCCTGGGGAGCTTTCTTTGCTTTGAACCGACACCTACAGAAGTTGAACATCATATACGATTCGGCTTGGACTGGAAAAGATGGACGCACGTAGAATCCCTGGTGCATCGGAATCCCTCTTCGTCATATATTTGCAATATTCGATAATACTTGTTTTGTGTAGTCCTGACATTGTCCACGGCTGATTGTTGGGACAGAATGCTGGAAGGGTCGGAGTAGGACCAGGTTCCAAAATGTGGAAGTTGCCAATGTCAATGCGATGCACCAGGTGGTCGTGTGAGATTCGAAAATTGCTGGCCAAGGAAAACAGTGCCCTTTGAGCTACAAGAGAAGGACAGGCATCAAATCATGTGTTTCTGGCAAAGTTAAAGTTGTCTTCTTACTACGCTGCTTTGCGTTGCCAAGTTTGGACCATTGCGTACTCCGTGCAGTTTCCTTGCCTCAAGCCACTCCTTCTTTCGCGCTTTCAGACGGTTCATCGAAAGGAATGCGTTCCCATAAGATGTTGTCTTGACAGTGGCGTGCAAATGATGACTTATTTTTGTTTTTCTCTCATTCTGTTTCCTTCCTTTTGTCAAAAATTGATATTTTTGGCGGTACCTTTGCATTGGTGCAATGTACAGCAGCAGAATGTATTCCCATGGAACCCGGAACCCTGACTGATGCATCCCCACCTCTCATGTCGGCTTACGCTTCACGTCAGGCCCATACAGCAAAGGTAAAGATCTCAGGAGTTAGCTGAGAAAACCATGAAGACAACGACAACGGTGACGACGTGGTCTGAAGGTCAATGAAAATAACGCGGCAATGGAGACTTGCCTGTTGTACGTCCAGCCGGTAGCAAATGCAAGAAAGCCAAATTAGATTGTTTTAATTACGTCCGCTTACATTTGCTGGTGGTGAGCTACACTTCTGGGAGTTGGAATGAGACTTTCGTTAATAGGGCTTTTCGCTGATGACTGCCTGAAAGAAGAATACTTCTTAGGGCGTAGGTCTTGAATATGTAGCGCAAAGTTTCTGCAAGGCATTCAAGGCCCTAAAGAAGCCCTATTCAGGGCCTAAAATCATGATTTCAGAGCACTCTCCCATTTGGTCCTAGCGATAGAAAGGGCCCTTTCTTTTGGAAGCTTGACTCTGCTCAAAGTCCAGGCACCCGTTTTCAGCTTGGACGAGAAAGAAATGCTTATTGCCCAGTGACCACGGTGTACACTTCCTCAAAAAGTCACAAGCATTCATTTGGAAGCAACGGGACGGATGGGTTGGGACGCAGTTTTCCAATTATTGCAGAAGACCATTGATGAATAGACCTAACATATGATGGACGATTGTTCAATATTTGGTTTCTTTATCGCGCGATTCGGAAAATTATGTTGACACATGGATGCTGATGAAAAGGTTCGTTTCCACCAGGAAGTCATTGGACGTGGGGCTTCACCCATCCCATTATAGCAAGATTCATGTGGACCATCATACAAAGCACTGTCTCAATCCAGTTTCAGTTCACATGTAACACAAAATACCAATGGATAGAAGAACCAGAGGGTTTGGTGTCACACGAAGTACTCATTTCCCCGTAATTCTGGCTAAAAGACAAGAGATCCTCTTTTGGAACCTTGTGGAACCACCAGTCAGATGTGGGAATTCTGGACGCTCTCAACTACAAAGAATTAGAACGGCCCACTCAGAGCATTGGTTTCTGGACAATCCCTTACATGTGATAGCTTCGACCCTTGCAGCACTTCAAAGCCAGATACTCCCTGGAAGAGACCCACATGGAACCTGAAAACCGCTTCTGGTTTGGTATTCGGAAAATGGTCTTCCAGTCTGAGGTTCATTCCAACAGGTTCCATGTGGGTCTGCACCGGGCTCCGCCAGGAGCTCTGCCAGGGCTGAGCTTGCAGATCATGAGCAGGCACATCAATGGACCGACGGGGTGGAGAGTGTATTCACCCATGAGGGACCGGTGTGGGCGGCGGGGACTTTGAAGCTATATCATCTCATGCTGTACTATATCCAATGGAAGAAAAAGCAAGCCTTTGACCCTTTGTTTTACGTATCAAAGCACCCGAAAGCATTATGTTTTGTAACCAAGTCTTGAACCAGGATAGGAACATCAAACGCATTGTCGGAAAAAGAAGCTGGAAGGGTCGGAGTAGGACCAGGTTCCAAATGTGCAAGTTGTCAATGTCAATGGTTCGACCCGCTACTCTTTGCTGGCCGAAAAGGCATCTTGCTCCTACCTGACATGGCACCAAACCATCTGGACGACACAGGAAAATGGTTTTACTTACAGTGGCCGTAGAGTTTCGACTGGTTTTTGAATCACACTGCTGTGAGCCCTGCGCCGGAACGACGCGTGTTGACCTAGTTGGACTAAGAACTTTGCTGTGAGAACCTTTTCCTAATGACATCGCAGCACGGACTTGAGAAAAAGATGCCGAAACAAATTGGAAACATGGTAGGCCCACTAGTGTTCTCAGGCCGGGAAATTACAGACCAAGAGCAAGTGCGAGTTCAGCGATAGTCCGGCAATCCCATGGGACATCTGTTCAGGTACTGCAAAGAAGTAGATATATTGAGGGCGCATGTTTAATTCGTTATTCTTTTTTCAAGTAACACTAGGGTTCTTGGACAATGAGCTTCCACTGAAGCAGTCATCTGGGGAGGATAGTTGGGATGTACTCCACCTACTGGATAAGTTATCTACTCTGTGGAGTACATCCCAACAGTTGTTAACTGTTTGATTGCCCCATCCGACTGACACTGAGAGCCGCACAGGCAACATGGTGAGTGTAGTCTGGCGGTGTTTGAAGCTATAAAGACGCTTAAGCAAAAGGCAGATGGAAAGAATGATCATGCATGGAAGGAAAGCATTGCCCGTGACGTCAAGTCATTCAAGAGGAAATTCGGCATGAATTCAACACTTTTGAACAGAAATATGAGACTTCTCTCCAGAAAGCCTTGGAAAAATAGAAGCCAAGTTAGCTCCCTACCTATATGGA